TTATTACCGGTAAAAGGGGAAAAGTTGAGGAGGCTCGAGCTCGTCTTGTGCGAGGGCTGCAAACTCAAGTTACGCGCGAAATTTCTGTGCCTAAAGAACATCATCGAGTTTTAATTGGTACTGTTTTAGCTAAAATTTTCAGACAGTGTGTGATTGCTACATGATGATGTAACTTTTTTTTAAACAATGTATAGGTAAGGAAGGATCAAAATTACGTCAGCTTGAACAAGAAACAAACTGCAGAATTATTGTGCCTGGTCGGGAGATGGCGAGTGATGTTATAAAAGTTGTCGGCCCACGTGAGGGTGTTGAGAAGGCTTTGCATGAGATTCAGCTCGTTAGTGACAAACAGGTATTGTCTTCTGACCTTTAATATAGGACGAATTTGTATTCTGACTATTGTTTTTCAGTCGAAGTTAGCACAAGAGAACTTGTTGATACCTCGGATATATTATCCTTGGATTAGAGGTCCGAACAATGAAACAGTTGATGCTCTTGCTGCTGAAACTGGTGCTAAAATTAACATACCCCCTCCTGCAGCTCAAAACGAGATGATTGTCATTACTGGTGAGAAAGAAGGGGTACACCGCGCTGCAGCTGCTATTAAAAACATTTACGAGGAAAAATTGGCGAACGCTAAGTCTGTGACTTGTCAGGTTCGCTGTCAGTATTGTTTTCGTTGTTCTTCTTACCCCAGTTCGGGGCTTATGCAAGCGGGCATTTATTCTTTTGCTATAATTTTGGTATTAAATTTCTTTTTTCGTCCTTTTTTCTGGTTTTTTATATGTACGGTTTTTTTCAAGGTGCCTAAACCACAACATCGTTATATTATCGGCCCTCAACGCAAAGGCCTTACAGAAATATTGAAAGAAACTGGAGTGAGTGTAGAAGTTCCTCCAGAAGAAGAAAATTCACATACTATTACTTTACGAGGAGATCAAGACAAGCTTGGTCCTGCACTGGCTCTTGTCTACGCTAAAGCAAGCAGTGTAATTACTGTTGAAATCACTTGCAAACCTTGGATGCATAAATACTTAATTGGGCCTAAAGGCACTACTCTCCAGGTTGTTTATGTTACTGAAACGTATTATTTTTTACTTCTCGTTTTTCTTTTATGGTGAATTCTTGTAATCATTTTTTTTACATTTTATTTCTATATGAAATCAAAGTGTTTATTTAGACTTTGGTTCCTAACAAAGATAAGGTTCAAATTGATTTTGAAAGTGGAGGGGTGATAATTTTGGAGGGACCACCTGAATATGTAAAGGCCGCACAAACTGCTTTAAACGATCAGATACAGCACCTCGAAGAAGAAATGGCTCTGGAAACAATCAAAGTTCATCCATCTTTTCATAGACACGTGATTGGAAGGGGTGGATCATTGAGTAAATTTTCCATTATGATATTCAAATTCCACTCGGTTTAAAGTGTTCTCAAGAAAGATTGAAGCAGGCATGGAAGTAAACTGCAGCGAGTTTATTAAGTGGATTGTTTCTGTTAATCTCTTTTGGACTTTTTCAGTTACAAAAATCAAAGAGGAAACGGGGGTCCAAATTATCATCCCAAATGAGGTCACGAATTCTGATGAAATCAAAGTCGAGGGAAAGAAGGAAGGGGTTAAAAAAGCTATTGAAGAGATCACAGAAATCGTGAAAAGAATTGTGAGTTTTTTATATTACTATTATATGGAAAGAACTCTGTTTTGTATATTAGAGATTAAATTGATTACTGTTGCACGGATAACGTTCAGGAAAATGAGAAGTCAAGGGACATCTTAATTGAACAGCGTCTTCATAAACAAATTATTGGCGTCAAAGGAGAAGCTATTATGAAACTGCGTGAACAGTATCCTACCGTTGTTTTTACATTTCCTGATCATGGAAAGAAATCAAATATCATTAATCTTCGCGGCGATAAAAATGAAGTTGATAAATTATACAAACATTTATCTGCGATTCATAAGGAATTGGTAACTTTCTTCTGTGCTTCTAATACAGTCACTTCTGTGTAGGAGATTAAAATGCACTTCTAGTTCCCCTTCTTCCGCAGTAAAAAATCTGTTTTATAGCTTGAACACAATTATCAGATGACTGTTCCCATATTCAAAGAGTTTCACAAACACATAGTCGGGAAAGGCGGGGCTAATGTGAGGAAAATACGTGAAGACACACAAACGAAAATTGATTTACCTGGTGAAGATAGTCGGGAAGATAAGATCACTGTTACTGGGAAAAAAGCCAATGTGGAGAAAGCTGTGGAACAACTTACCAAAATTCAAAATGAATTGGTATTTTTATACATATTGCACTGGCTTTCAAAATATAAATGAGTCACTGTGAATATCTTTTTGTTTTTCTTCTTACTGTATTCATGGTTCTTTTGACAGGCTAGTATTGTGCAAAAAGAAGTGATAATTCCGCAAAAGGTTCATTCACGCCTTCTGGGAGGCGGTCGACGTTTAATACAGGATATACAGGATGAGTGTGGAGGCGTTGTTATAAAATTTCCTCCAGAAAAAACTATCTCTGACAAAGCTAGTTTTTTATATTCTCTTTGATTTTTACCGTATTTCCCTTTTTGTCATTAAGGTTATAATTTTCTTATTTATTTTAAGGTTACTATTCGTGGACCAAAGGAAGATGTTGCAAATGCAGAAAAACTCCTTCTTGCGTTGGCGAAGGACCGAGAGCTGTCAAGTCATGAAGAAACTGTATCTGCAAAGCCGGAGTTTCACCGCTTCTTAATTGGAAGGGGAGGTGTCAAAATAAAAAAGGTAAATTTATTTGCGGCTATTAAGGTAGTGATGTATAACTTTTTTGAAGTATAAGGCTCATGCCACTGTAATTTTCTGGGATCGATTTTTGCTGAAATACTTTTTACCAGTTTTTAAACTACAGTTACGCGAGAGTTATCCTGATGTGCGCATTTCTTTTCCGCGTGAGACTGATACAGATAAAGAAACCATCCATCTTGTTGGCAAAAAAGAGGAGACTTCAAAAGTAAAGAAGCTGTTTGAAGAGATGATTAATGAACTTGTAAGTCCTTCTTGGCCAAATTTAAGTCTAAATGTGGCACATTGGTTTTTTGCTGGGAAGGGAGAGGAATATATGTTTTTTGAAAAAAAGTGAAAATATTCTATAAATTTGTGCCTTAGAGTGAGACAGTTGAAATAAAGTTTGATGTCGATCCTAAGTTCCACCGCCATTTCGTCATTCGTGGGGCCGCAGTCTTGCGTGAAATACAAGATCAGAATGGCGGAGTTACCATTTCGTTTCCAAGAGCCAACAGTCAAGACAGCAAAGTTACGATTAAAGGATATAAACAGTGCGTTGAAAGTGCGAAAGCCCGAATTGAAGAAATTGTTGAAGATCTGGTACAATTCTTTATGCCCTTTTGGTTTTAACTCATAATAGTTCATTACTGATCAATTCTGTTTTGGGATTGTTCGTTTGATGGATTATAATGTCATTTTCTTTGTTCTGCCTTAACGTTTGTGTTTTTTTCATCAGTTTTTCTGATCAAAATGGTCTAAGTGGATTGCATTCAAAAGTTTATTGCGAAGTCAGGAACTTGATTTTGAGTGTTTACTTTAATAAAAAAATTGACATTTTCAGCAGGCACAAGTCAAAATTGAGGTTGAAATTCCAGCTGTTCATCATCGAGCACTTCTTTCCAACCGTGGCCAGAAAATTCAAGAGTTGTGTGCTAAATTTAATGTCCAGCTAAAGTTTCCCGATCGGCGTCTCCGAGGTTTATATCTTTTGTTAACATTTTGATTCATGTTGATTTGTTAGGTTTATTTCTTTTGTTAGGTTGTATTAATCGTGGCAATAAAGAAAATCTCTAAATAATGGATTAATTTTCGAATTTTTGTTCAAGCAGTTATTATAACGAGGAACTGCAAACCTAATTTGTTGCAGAGGAGGCTGCAGCGGCTGAAAGTCAAGAAAAGGGAGATCACGAAGGACCATCTCCTATGGATATTATAACTATTAGTGGTAGAGATGTGCGTTGTCAAGAAGCAAAGGAAGCCTTACTTGCTTTGGTTCCTGTTTCTAAAGTGGTGAGCTTTGGGCTGATTGTGTTTTAAATGATAGTTCATTGATCTTTTTCATCATAACTGTCAGGAGTTACTCACGGGTAAAAAAAGTTTGAAAATCATACACTTCATAGTTCCGCACATTCTTCATGCTGGAATTGTTTTTTTTTTTTTTTTTTAGCAAAA